TGTTGACGACAAATTAGCCTATTTTACAACGCTAGTACAATACTTATTTGATAAATATGTCCCTATTCGCAGTATTAAAACAATTGATCATAAAAAGCCTTGGTTCACTAAAGCCATTTTAGTCCTTATCAAAGAGCGATGTAGGGCTTATAGATCCTGGAAGCGTAATCCCACCAATGAACGCTGGAGCACATTTAAAAACTTGCGAAACAAAGTAACATCTGCTTTGCGTAATAGTAAAAAAGCCTATCTCGATGCAAAATTTAATTCCAACATGCCTTCCAAGGTGTTGTGGAAAAATCTGAAGTCACTGGGTGTCTGCGCCAAGGATGTGAAAACCTGTATAATAGATGCTGATTTAATGAACTCATACTTCGTTGGCGTTAATTCACATCCGAATGCACCACCTTTCAGCATTAATGAAAAACTAGTTTGTAATCCTGCTTTCGAGTTTGTATTCGATGCAGCCACTGAAGACGATATTGCAAAGTGCATTCTTGCAATAAAATCGAACGCCATTGGTGTGGATGGTCTTAGCCTGCGTTTTTTAAAACTTATCCTCCCGTACGTGCTTCCTACACTTACACACATTTTTAACTTTGCCTTAGCTTCCTCTACCTTTCCAAAGCAATGGAAGATTGCTAATGTGATTCGGTCCCAAAAAGCAACTCTTGTAACTCTCCCCAAAACTTTAGACCCATCAGTATTTTACCAATGTTGGCGAAAGTTTTCGAAAAGTTTATTTCCGCTCAGATAGTGTCACATATGAACAAATTTAATTTATTGAGCGAACTCCAGTCTGGGTTTAGATCCAACCATAGTTGTTCCACGGCCGTGTTAAAGATTATGGACGACATCCGCCCCGCTTTCGACAGTAAGCTGCTCACAATTTTAGTACTCTTAGATTTTTCCAAAGCTTTTGACATGGTAAACCATGATATTCTTCTTTTGAAATTGAAAAATTATTTCGGGTTCAACCCCAGTGCACTTAAGCTTATAAAAGACTACCTCTCGAACAGGTCACAGCAAGTCCAGTGTGGAGATATCTTCTCACATCGCCGAGAAATTTCCTGTGGGGTACCTCAAGGCTCCATTTTGGGCCCCATACTTTTCAGTATTTTTATAAATGACATTGTTCAATGCTACCAAAACTCTTCCATTCACCTATATGCTGATGATACGCAGATGTACCTTTCACGTCCCATAGGTCTTGCCGAAGACTTGGTGGCCAGATTAAATGAGGACCTGAAAAGAATTGAAGTCTGGGCCACCATGAATGGCCTCTCTTTAAATGCCACCAAAACGCAGGTACTTCCGATTTCGTGCGTTCCTTTTGATCTCAGTAGCATATCACCAATTATTTTGAACGAGATGGAACTAAAATTTGAATATGCTGTAACTAATCTTGGTATTAAAATGAATTCCCGCTTAACTTGCACGGCTCACATACGTTATAGTATATCAAAAATATATTTTATATTAAGAAATCTATGGCATATATGCTATTGTCTGCCGATTAACACAAAACTCAAACTAGTTAAGTCCCTCATCGTTCCCCATATTTCCTATTTTGAACTGGTCTATGGCAATCTAAGCTACGATTCTAAGAATAAATTAAATCTAGTTTTAAATAACGTGGCTAGGTTCATTTATTCCAAAAGGAAGTTTGACCACATATCATTGTATACTAAAAATATTCTTGGGCTCACCCTTGATAATTACCTCAAAGTCCGCAATTTGGTGTATCTATTCAAATTAATTAGAAACCGTCAACCTGGTTATCTTTTCCGGAAATTAGTTTTTGTGAAATCATCTCGTACACACAATATTGTTGTCCCAAAGTACAAAACTTTAACGGCGTCTAGATTGTTTTTTGTTAGTGCTATAAGAATTTGGAACTCACTACCAATTTCAATTAAATGCATAACATCGATTGGTTGCTTCAAAATGGCAGTTACAAACCTATATGTGTAATATCCTCCCTCTATTCCCCTCATCTATGTTTATCTATGTTTACTATCCTATTACCCCATCAACTAATTTGTTATTTTACTTTCTTACCCTATAATTTTTGTATTTTATACTTATTTTAGTACTTGTAAGATTAAGTTAAAAGTTTTGAAATTTATATATTAATTTGCGTACAACGAAAAGACCCTGCGTCTTACTGTACCTATGAGATGTTATAATAATAATAATAATTAAAATAGTTATAGCTTTATAGTGAATGTAAAAGGGTAAACAAACCATAAATACTTCTTAAAAATAAGGTACTTCAAGTCTTTTCATAAAATTTTCATAATATCGACATAAATTCATATATGTTCTACATACAGGCACTTTCATTTCAATCACTCTTGACCGTTTTGCATCAAATTCGTAAGAAGGTGTTGAATATTACTGAGTGACTCCATTTTCTCTCTATGACGTCTTTCTCGGGCCTCTTCCTTTCTTTTTTGCTATTTCTAGCAGCGTCTCTTGGACCAATTTCTTTTTTTCTACCTCCTTCGCCTTTGGACTTGGTGTACTCGTAATCTTCATTGCTATTGCTTGGCTGCTCATTTGTACTTCCGGCTCTATTGAGTCATCCATTGCGCTAATATTTTCCAGCTCTTGTGCAAACTCTACTCTTTGCCAACCGCTGCTTTCCTCCTTTTCAGAACAGTTTTGTATCTTTCTTCACACTGATTTGCTGTCCTACCCGCTATTTCTGTTGAGATCTTTTCCCACATTTCCTTCTTATTCCGAAGAGCCTTCATCGGTCCAATCTCCGGAAAATAGCTGGCGTATCTGTCGAGGAGAAGCCGGGTCTCACTGTCTGACCACACTGCAACAAAAAACATATTGAATGCTTGTTTTTCCACTTGGGCTACTTATGTATATTTTTGTACTTACTTTGTATACGTTTGAAGCTCGGATTTTCAATTATTTGTTGCTCCATTTTAATATTGTGATAATTTTTAATAATATACTATATTTATTCGTCGCTCTCAATCAAATAAATTTCTGTAGCAAACGAAAACAATTAAACAGCTGATCTGTAACAGGGTGTAATTTTTTTGTTCTTTTCTCACTGCGATAATGCAACCATTTCACAGGGCGTAGAGGAACATTTTCATAATGTTGCCATACAATCGGGCAACATTTTTTTCGAGAAAAGAAAACACCGTTAGTAACAAAACTAATAAAGCAATTCGATTGAGGCGAGATAGCTTTTTTCGTAATGAGTTTAAATCCTTATTCGGAAATACTAGAAAAGAGGTTGTCAATCGGGCTCTTAATTGAGCACCGGCAGAGCGTGTCGAGTCAATTGCCCTGTGGTCAAAAGGTCATTCGATCTCAGATCTTATAGGAGTAGCCAATGAGTTCAATAAGTACTTCACCTCTATTGGAAAAACTAAGTGTACCAACTGCAATTGCCAGTTTGCTTTAGGACTGCCCTCAAACCCTGATACTCGGAAAAGTTTCTTAAATTAAATTTCAAGCTTAGAAATAACTAACATAATCAAAACTTTAAATAACTCAGGTTCTTGCGGTGATGACGGTATTTCCAATAAAATACTAAAA